GAAAAAAAGAAAAATACAAAGTCAACGTTCTGGATGGAAGGAAAAAACAAAAAAAAACAGAGAAAAGCTACAGAATAGGATGGTCCCAGCTACAAAGAAGGACAACCTTGCAAGGTAGGGCAGCTGAGAGAGACAAAACGGGGCTCGGAGGCTGGGCGAGAGTCAAATCTAGCTCTGCTCACACGTTTCCTGTAAACTGACTCATTGATTTCAATGGGGAAAAAGAGTAGCTGCAGTAGGAAAGGCCAGGCTCTGAAGCAATCCCCCCCAAAATCCCCCTTCCACCCCCACATCAGACCTGGCAAGGCCTGGGAGCCCCAGAGAACTACAGAGTGCCCCTCGGAGCAAAGAGGGAATCCCAAATCCTCGGGATGCCAGGCAAAACCTTTTAGCCAGATGCCCCCCCTAGAAGAGCAAGAGACGACGGGGAAGAAGAGGCTGAAGGACAAGGGAGGATCCAAGGGCAAAAAATTTAAAGGCAGCCAATTCTCAGTTTGCAACCATTCCTTTTGAACGGCCGTTTGAAGTTACGGCGGCCCTGAAAAAAAAGTAACTTAAGATCTTTATTTTATTTTTTTCCTTTCAACACGGTCGTTGCAGCATCATCCCCGTGGCCACGTGACCCAAATTCGGATGCTTGGCAGCTGACTTATATTTATGACGGCTGCAGTGTTCTGGGGTCCCTCACGGGTACCCTTTTACGACCTTCTGACAAGCCGTCAATGAGGAAACCAGATTCACTTAACCACCAGATTACTGAGTTATCAACTGCAGCGATTCACTTAACAACAGAGGCAAGAAAGGTCGCAAAACAAGGCAAGACACTTAAATATCTTGTCTAGCAAGAGAAATTTCAGGCACTGAAATCAAAGGCTATTGTGTCGTATAAAATAAATATATACAATGTAAAATACAATCTCCTGGGGTGTCTTCCTTGATGCCACAGGAGGAGAAACGTCGGGGGCCGCTTCCAAAGCCTCACTCAGGTCGGAGCCTCCATGGCCAGGAGCAGCGTGCTGCGTAATGGCATTTGGAGCTCACCGGGGTCCCGCCCAGCCGAGGATTATGGGGCAGAATATCCAAGTTGGATAATGAAGCGGCAGCCAAGCACGGGGCTCCGTCCATGGGGAGGAGAAGGCCGGATGCCCACAGGGGTTAAAAGAAATCCACCCTTTCTTGGCTTCAGAAGCCGTGGGAAACTTTGAGGGGATGTGGGGGGGCAGGTTGAGCCAGATCACGTGTCTCCAGAAGACCCGGGTCAGGGGGTTGTGTGAACCCACAACTCTGCAGGCGGGACAGGAGGAGGAGAGCCAGTTGAAGATTAAAACCCATAAATGGGAGAGAGAGAAGACAGGAGAGTCCGAAAAGAAGGCTAAATAACATAATTAATCATTCATAGAAAAGCTAATAATCATCGCCACATAAGGGAGGGTATAAATAAGGGGGGAGGAAAAAGAGGAAGGGGGGAACCCAAGCCCACCCCAACTGCCTTCGTTCAAGCTACAGGTATCTTTTGAGGAGGGGCATGCGTTCCTGTCTCTTTCCCTTCTCTCGGGTTGTGGGAACGCCATCGCTTGAGGCCTTCAAGAAGAGACTGGACTGCCATTTGTCAGAAATGGTGTAAGGTTTCTCCCGCTTGGGCAGGAGGGGTTGGACTAGATGACCTACAAGGTCCCTTCCAACCTCTGTTAACCTGTTATTATTCTGTTATTCAGACGTTGCGGGAGCTTCATCCCTGGAAACTTTCAAGAAGAGACTGGACTGCCATTTGGCAGAAATTCAACCAGATTGGGGTTGGGCTAGATGACCTACAAGGTCCCTCCCAACTCTGATTATCTGTTAAATCCTTTCCCTGCAGTTCCACCCATTCAGATGACACCCGGCCCCACTGATTATAATATGAAAGCAAATCTGAATAAAATAATCCCCAAATAATGGCTGGTCTCAACAGGAGGAGGAGAGGGAGGCCGCCAAGCCCAGCCTGGCCCTCTTCCCTCATGCTACACTTTCTGCCTTCCTTCCAGTTTCATCCCTTTCCCTCCAGTTCCACCCATTCAGACGACTCCCAACCCCCCTTGCTAGAATATAAAAGCTATTCCTAATAAAACCAAGCCTAAAAGGATGGCAGGCCTCAACAAAAAAAAAGGAAAGAGGAGGGGGGAGGCCTCCACCCCACATGCTACACTTTCCCTTCCCACAAGTTACCTTGACCTGTTTCCCCCCATTCAGACGACTCCCAGCCCGGATGTGACATTATAAAAGCTAATCCTAAAATAAAAACCATCTCCAAAAAAACCGGCAGGTCACAGGAAACAGGCAAAAAGGAAGGGGGTTGGGGGAGGTTGCCAAGTCAAGCCCAGCCCCCACCCCTCATGTTACACGTGTCTTTGCCCTTCCCAGCTACACGTGTCTTTTCCTTTCCCTCCAGTTCCACCCATTCAGAGCCCCGATTCTACAACATAAAAGCTAATCCTAATGAAAATAATATTAATAATAATCCCCAAATAATGGCAGGTCTCAACCGAAAGGGGAAAAGAGGGGGAGGGCACCGAGCCCAGACTCATTCGTGTCTTTGCCTTCCCACAAGATGCGTGTCTTTTCTCTTCCCTGAAGTTACACGTGTTTGCCTTCCCACAAGATACGTCTCTTTCCCTTCCCTGGAGTTACACCTGTCTTTCCCTTCCCTGAAGCTACACGTGTCTTTCCCTTCCCACAGGATACACATTTTCCCTTCCCTGAAGCTACACGTGTCTTTCCCTTCCCACAAGATACGCATTTTCCCTTCCCTGAAGCTACACGTGTCTTTCCCTTCCCACAAGATACGTCTCTTTCCCTTCCCTGAAGTTACACGTGTCTTTCCCTTCCCACGAGACACGCGCGTCTTTGGCTTCTCATGCTACACGCGTCTTCCCCTTCCCTCCGCTCCCATCCCTCCCTCGCTACCAATATCAAAGCTAATCCTCCAATAAGGACCACCACCACCCCAATAACAGCAGGGGGGGGGCTACACGCTTCCCGCAAGAGACACGCGTCTTCTAGATCCCCTTTCCCACGAGACGCGCTTTCTCGTTGTTGTTTTTTTTTTAAGGCCGCGCGGGCTCCCCGCTTTCCCTGGCAGGCGCGTCCCGCTCACCGTCAGGCCGGTGCCCAGCACGATCACGTCGTACTCCTCATTCATGGCGGCGGTGACGGCGGAGGCGGCCGGGCGGCGGGCGAGGCCGGGCGGGGGCGGCGGCGGCGGCGCGGCGCTGGGAGGTCTCCCTCGGGCTCGGGCGGCTGAGGGGCTCGGGCGGCGGGGCCTGGGCGGCGGCGGTTCAAGGCCTCGGCGGCCGTAACTGCCGGCGGCTGAGGAGGAAGAGGAGGAGGAGGAGGAGGAGGAAGAAGAAGCGGCGGCCGAGGAGAAAATGGAGGCGACGCTGCTCCTACCTCCGCCGCCGCCGCCGGGAGAAGAGCGCGCCAGAGGGGCGGGGCCTTTGGGGGGCTGGGCGGGGCCTTTTGGGGGCTGGGCAGGGCCCCGGCCGCCACCCGAGGGGGAGGAGCTGGAGGGCGCCCCAATCCCCGCCATCGTCGCCAAGGGGGCGCTGCACGGCCGGCGGCCGTTATTGGGCTGCCGCGAGGTGTCAGTCAAGGTTGGGAGGGAAGAAGGGAGGAAAAAAAAAAAAAGGAGGCGGGGCGTTCCTTTATTTCCTCCCCCCCCGTGACCCCGCCCTCTGCCCGGGATTGGCTGCGCGCCCTCGGTCGGACGAGGCGAGGAAAGCTCGATGCCACGCAGGTGCCGCCGGGCGTGGGAAGGGAGGAGGGAGGGAGGAGCATGCGCGCTCGCGAGGGTGAAGCCGCTTGCCCTGCTTCCGGGTGATGAGCACGTGATTCCGTGCCAAGCTATGATTCCACCAGGTTTTGTTGTCTTAGCTTCTGCATGATACGCTCTCAATCTTTGTTTCTGAAACTTGGGCTATTTTAAAAGGGATGGGCATGGGTTTCAAGTCTCAGAATCCCCCAGCCAGGCCTGGAATTCAGGGAGCTGATACCCATCCATCTTAAACAGGGCCTCGATGAGAATCTTACAGCAATGTTTATAGCCAAGGGGTGGTCGCATTCAAACTTTGCCCTTCCCCTAATAATGCATGCATAACAGATAATATTGATTGGTTATTTGGATCTTAGCCCCCTTCATAGCTAAAATTTTTTGGCATACTGTGTAACAGTGTGGTATGCTGGATGCTCTGCAGTGGATAAGAAGAGGCTCCAGAGAGTTATAAACACAGCACAAAAAATCAACGGTTGCTCTCTTTCTTCTTTGGAAGAGATGGCGAAGACCAGACTCCTCTCTAGAGCACTCAAAATCTCCAGACAGTTCTCATCCTGGACATTCATGTTTCGATCTGTTACCATCAGGGAGGCGTTATAGGTGTCTTAAAATGAGGACTAATAGATTGAGAAACAGTTTCTTTTCCAAGGCAGTAATTGTCTTGAATCAAACAGGGCATTTGTGATTTAGTTGTCTTCTTCTTCTTCTTCTTCTTCTTCTTCTTCTTCTTCTTCTTCTTC